GAACCATAGGAGCTTCACATGGTTTCGTGTCGATCATGCCAGAATCATGTAGTATGTCAAGGCAGTATTTTCGTTGAGATATGCAAATTCCTTTGTGATTCCGAGATACCTCAATACCCAAGAAATATTTCAGTGGACCAAGGTCCTTAGTTTGAAATTGAGATGCGAGGAATTCTTTCAACTTCTTAATTCTATTCTCATCACTGCCCGTAATCACAATATCATCGACATAATCCACTAGCAGGATACATCCAGAATCAGATGAAGTAAAGAACACTGAGTGGTCATACGAGCTTCTTCGTAACCCAAATGTAGTTACCACATAACTGAACCGACCGAACCATGCACGAGGTGATCGCTTTAGGCCGTATAACGACTTCCGCAATTTACAGACCTTCCTAGACTCCCCCAGAGCAACAAACCGGGGGGGTTGCTCCATGTAGACTTCCTCTAGCAGATCGCCATGTAAGAAGGCGTTTTTCACATCTAATTGGTGAAGAGGCCAATTATAGGTAGCAGCTAGAGAGATGAAAAGCCGAATAGACGCCATCTTTGCAACAGGAGAAAAAGTCTCGGAATAATCCACTCCATAAGTTTGGGCATACCCCTTTGCAACCAAACGAGCTTTTAACCGTGCTATCGAGCCATTAGGAATAACTTTCACAGTAAACACCCACTTACACCCAATTGCTCTTTTGCCAGCAAGTAACTCTACCAAATCCCATGTGGTGTTATGATCAAGAGCATTGAGCTCATCAATCATAGCATCCCGCCATCCAGGATGAGTCAAAGCTTCTCCAACCGTAGATGGAATAGGTATAGAATCAAGGGTAGAGACCAAAGAACGAGATGACATGGAGAGTTTATCATAAGAAACAAAGGAAGCAATAGGATACGTGCAGGAACGTTTACCTTTCCGGAGAGCAATAGGAGCGTCAAGATCAGGATCCTCATTTACTGGAGTGGGTATAGAAGCTTCAGGAGGTACATCTTCTGGGGATGGTGGATCTGTAGACTCAGATGATATTGGTGAAGACGGAGGAGGTCGTTCGCGCCTATTATATACATGAACAATGGGTGGTCTGGTGGCTTGAGTAGTGGACTCAGGAGTGGGTATGGTATATACCAACAAGTCATCATCTTTCTCATTTAAAGGAGTCGGAGGGGAAATTGGGAAGAACGGCACGTTCTCATGGAAGGTAACATCCCGAGATACAATATAGCGGTTAAGATTGGGAGAGAAGCACCTGTAACCCTTTTGGAGACGAGAGTACCMAAGGAACAYGCATTTCAGAGATTTGGGATCAAGCTTGGTGATAGTGGGGCGTGTGTCGCGAACAAAGCATGTAACACCGAAGATCTTTGGCTCAATAGGGAATAATCGTTGTCCTAGTAACAAAACAGAGAATGGAGTTTCCCCATTCAGGACAACAGACGGCATTCTATTAATAAGAAAACAGGTTGTTGATACTGCATCGGCCCAAAAAGACTTAGGGACGGACATCTGAAACAGAAGTGCTCGGGCAACCTCAAGGAGGTGACGATTTTTTCGTTCGGCTACCCCATTTTGTGCTGGAGTATCAACACATGAGGACTCATGAAGGATACCATTTTGCAACATATAGGATTGAATTTATTGGGATACATACTCTTTTGCATTGTCACTTCGTAAGGTTTTAATAGATGTTTG